AGAGGAGACTGGAGGTGTAGGGTGGCTGTAACTGGATCCGTGGCCCTCTCCCCCCCCCCTCTATTTGGGCTCTGCTAGAGAAGGCTTTGTGGTGTGTTGATACCCCCTGACATGATATTGTAGCAGAAGAACAGCTATGGCTTTAATTAAGCCTGAGTTGACTGAGAGAGATGGAGGGATAAAGAGAGGGAGGAAGAGGAAAGGGAAAAAGAGAAGGAGGAGTATCAGAAAACAAACAACCCAATAAACAGAAATAGCAGATCAGGTCATGCGGTTCAGATTAAACGTCTCAAAGTAATTGATCTTTGTAGTCTGACAACAGTATTTGCCTCTGCTGGGTGACATTAAAACAAGAGCTCTGTGTACACCAGTAAACAGGATCATTCATAAATATACAGTATAATCTTCCTCTGGGAGAGCAATGGCAGAGCGAATGAAAATAGATGATGCTTTCAAATTTCTCCCAAAGATAAATCCACCGTTTTCCTTGCAAACCGGACTGCGTGGAAAGGAGAGATAACGGGGCCTGACTTTGTCTCCGTGTGCAGACTGCTGCACGGCGAATACGGGAAGGTGGTGGAACAGAGTGTCGGTGCCGGTGGTGATGGAAGTGGTAGTGTGTGGGGGATTTTAAGCATAAATCACCACTGTGACAAAGCTTTCCAATAGGCAGATAAGTGCACATTAGTGGTAAGGCAGATCTGTCATCGCCTGTCTCCGAGCCGTCGGTCCCGCCCTCTCTCCCCGAAACAAACGCTGACTTGAGAGGACTCCAAACTCTGTGTGGCAGCATGTGGCATGCATAAGCACTTATGTTCTTACTGTGGGACTTAATTTGTAGCTTAATTATTTTCAAGAGGAAGTGTTCAGGGTATGTGGCCCACATGTTTTAATTATGACGCTCCTTTTGATGTTTAATAAACAGGCAAGCGATGTGACTAGGGCTGCAGCTAATGATTGTTTTATTATAAATTAATCTTCTTGCAATTTTCTTGATTTTTCATTAACAAGTTAATTTGTGGAATGTCAAAAAATAAGAACAAATACTCATTTTGGATATGATGTTTTAAAATATCTTATTTTGTTTGACAAACATTACAAATAATATTTGCTTGCAATGATATGAAACACAGAACATCAGAAAATGTCTTTTAAAAAGGCTTGAACATGCTTAATCAACTATAAAACTGTTCCATAGACAACATTTCCCCTTGATCATGTAGTGTAACAGCATACAGATCTTTGATTGTACATTGACAGTGAACATTTTTCAGAATGGATATATAATGTTATATTAATTTGATTATGTCCCAGATCTAGATTCCTACAGGCATTGCAACAATAATGTAATAAGAAGAAAAATGTACAGATAATGAGCCATTAGCCACAGTCAATATCATCTCCAGAAGGCCTTGAATACTCAGGCAGTGTTACAGAGATCTGTGCCAAACAAAAGACAAGCTGGAAAGCTCCCCAATCAATGTTATTTTCTCTCTCAGTCCCAGACCAACTGTCTGTTCATCTGTTTCTCTCAAATGAAAGGTGTGCTGCTATGTAACACTTACAGTCGAGAGATCTGTCTCTTAATTAAAATGTTACAGATTGTGTTTCGCTCACTGTGCAGACGGAGCATACTGTGTATTGGAAATAACGCTCCCTGTAGTGTGTGGTATTGATCAGACGAGGAAAATAGTAGTAATGCAGCTTTTGGTAGGAATGTGGTCCTGGCTATTAAAAGTAAACCCATGACGAGTACCTCATAGGTGGAAAAAAAAGAAAAAGCTTTTGTTTGAATAGCCAATTCCATACTAGGAGAGACGCTGGTCTGCATGATCCATCAAATACATTGCCTTTGTTTGGATTTTACTTTTAAAGGAGAAAAGAGTATACATTAGCCAGAGTGTACACGTGGTTCTGTACATGCAAGCTTATTCTGAATAGAGGCATATGAATAATTTATCTTGCCACAATCCAACTGGGAACGTCCTTGGTATTTACATTTTATCATCAAGGGCACTGGATGAGCCCTCACAGCAATCTAACACATGACACATCCTCAGTCCACGTCCCTTTGCAAAATCACAAGCAAAACAAATGGGGGCTGGAAAATGTTTCTGTGGCGTGGATATATATTTATATACACTGAGGAAACAAAAGGTTGATGAACATGCTCGATGATGACTAAGCGCGGCAGCGGCCTTATGATTACACAGTGGTCACCCTCAGTGGTAGTGAAGCACGGTGAAATACGACAGCCATGCAAAGGCTCCGAGGGACACGCACAGGGACTCACTTTACACAATGGCTCCAATGTTTACAGCGGACAATTTAGTTTCCTTCCAACAATTATGAGGGAAATTGAATCTCAGGAAATGTTCGTTTTCTTGTCCATTAGAACAAACAATAACACCTTCACCAGAGGTTTACAAAAACATCTGTCTTCAAAGGACGGTCCAGAAAATGTATATCAACTGGCTTGCAGGCTATTTCAGGACAAAGTAAATCAAGTTGAGGCAATCTTTTTCATTTGGTGTAACATGTAGGAAGATGAAAGTACGCTTTAAAAGCTGAGTCTGTGTCTACATTCTTGCTTTACTATAAAACATTGCTAACCCTTTTTTGTGGTCAAATTAAATATGGGTGTTTTAGTGTCATAGGTATTGTAACTTAATGAAATTCTTCTCATCTGGCTTTGTGTTTACTGCCTTACATTTGGGATTCATTTAAGAGACATTTAATGCATTTTAATCCTGCTGAAAGCTATTGTTAAAAATAAGAATGTTGTTTACTATGTACTTAAAGGCACAACCTGAGAAAAAGGCTTGCCCAGGCACCAAATACAACAACAGAACGATTGGAAGACTATTATTTCAAAATGAACACCAACATTAGACAGCAACAAATTCCACAGTAAATATTTTCCTGACTCTGAAAAGATTTGTTTTCTATTAAACAGACCTATTTTTATTCCAAGCAGCTGGAAATGCTAATTCATCCTTTGCACTGTAATCTTTCGGGTTGTATATCTTAGCAAAGCTGTAATTTATATGCTGACAACATTACAAAATGAGCATTTCACTCACCTTTATAGTAAAAAGGGGTTAAGAGAAGCAAGAAAAAATGGGCTTTGTATCCTCTCTCCTTTCTTCCATCTCCCCCATGCCCCTTATTTTCTAAAAGTATCTGTTTGAGAGATAAATGACCACTCTGCTGCCGAGGATGACAGCCTACACAAAGATGATATTGAATTTATTTCAGAAATGTTGCAGAACTGACTGTTTGATGTATACTGCTAGACATGAATCATAAAAATTCTATTAAAAAACCCTTGAATGGCTGACACCAGAATATTATTTGTGATGATTAATTTGACTCAGTCATTACAATGGGAGTCAAGTTGGATCGTCTCAGACAAAATTGCTTTTCATTCCCCGTTGAATTTCCCTGCTATTTTTCTTTTCTTCTTGCTCTGAGCAGAACTCTGATCTGATTGGGCTTACTGTGTTAGCGCAACAGCACACAAAGGCTGTTGGTCTTTTTTATTACTGATCGCTGAGCATCCAGCTTTTGTTCCAAAATGAGACATTCAACATTTGAAACAAAATTACACCTGTTCCAACAAAATGACAGATCAGAATTTAAACAGTTTACAAAGCTATTTGTTGAAGGCAGGAAACTGAATGAATTGGTAAACAAGATGCTAGCATATTAATGATTCTTAAGGTTATACTGACACCACTCATAAATGTTGTAAATATGACTTTATATAGTATATTTTTAAAGAATCAACTGTAGACCACAGAACTGGATGTTTTTACCAATATAGTAATCAGTAATTCCAAGCATAAATACGTTTTGCATTTATTTTGGATCGACAATGTCTCACACAATTAGATGGTAGTTAGCACAGCTGTCAGTTAGGGTTACTCTGCCAAATATGTGATATCCTTGAGTCCTCGGCAAGAAATTGAGAACCACGGGGCGTCAGTATTCATTTCAACCTTGTTTTCCTTCTATCTTACACTCTGTAAGCGACACAACACGTCCTGATATATGAAAAATAATGGATGAGGGAAACGCAAACACAACAACAAAGAGCTGTCATATTTTCTATACTGACACCACAAAGTGTACCATTTCCACTTTAGCACGGATTTAACAGTTATTAACGTTTTCTGTTTGTTGTTAGATGAACATTAGTTTTTAACAATAACTTGCTATGTGGCACAAAGCTGCATTCGGCTACTGTTACTATGGTTACCTGTAGTTTAATCTAAGCAATAGTTAACATCAAGGTGACTGTATGTAAAAGATATATATACATGCAGGGGAGGCGGAGAACATTTCCTTTGCTACATCCGTACAATAAATGTTAGCTTAACTGTTAGCAAGTAGGTATGGTCACGTCACTCACGTGTACTGTTGCTATGGATACTGGAACTGCACTAAAGCACTGTCAATTCCCGTTATAAAAAAACAAACAATGTTTGCGTATTTTGAATGACCACATCACTGATATGAAGCTCAGCTGCTATTGCTCTGAGAACAACTCTCCATAGCTGTCACATTGTTTGAACATTGATTTAAACTGCTAAATATATTTATTTTGTATTAAATGTTTCTTAACAAAATGCACTTTAAGAGTTGTAATTGCCTTTTGTCCTTACATCTTACATACGCTCATGTATCTTTGACTGCTTATCGGAACACTTGATATATTTTGTAATGCAATACTCGTGTTTTGTGGTACTGACAATGCAAAATGGGATAGTTATATACACATTTAAGCCTTGGATTTGCTCCTCTTACATGGCCTACAGTATATATTCAGGGAATTGACTTTCGCCTGTCCTAACTTTTACACCTTATCTTTTAACTTTATCCAACTTTATGACTACATCTGCGACCCATAGGAAAAAAAGAGTTATTAATTAGCGTTAGTGTTGCCTACAGGTGTCCATTACTTCCTTTTTCTCACGTTGTTCTCTTCGTGTCCTCAGAGCTACACAGGTCAGAGTGGCGGCGGGGGAGGAGGAGGAGGTGGCGGTTCGGGCAGTGGAAATGGGGACGAGGACTACGAGATCCCCCCCATCACTCCCCCAAACCACCCCGAGCCCTCTCTTCTTCACCTGATGGAGCACGACTCTACAGGCTACCTCTGCCACTCGCTGCAACACAATGGGCTCATCAACCCGTACTCCTACCCAGAACTCATGATGTCCAACATGCTGGCCCAGGACAGCCACCTCGTCTCCAGCCAAATGCCCTCGGTGAGTAGAACAGCGTGGATTAAACCATTCCACCACGGCCATTTAGCATCAGAAAACTGTGGTCCAATTAAAAAAGGGATGTTTAAGGTGACTGAGAATATCTTCAGTAATGGTCACACATGTTTTGGACGATTTAATGATAGTAAAAAGTTATTTAATGCCTCAGTGGAAAGAGGTTCTTCTAAAACTAAACCTTTTGAACTCTGCTGGATTTACCAAAACTGTACATTTGAAAAAGTGCATTTATGTCTCTGAGATAACCATGGCAATCTATTAACCCTCACATGTACACACACACACACACACACACACACACACACACACACACACACACACACACACACACACACACACACACACACACACACACACACACACACACACACACATGATCGTGCACAGGAGAGTGAACAAATTTGACTTTTTAAATGATTTTAAAAGCTTTTTGGATATTGCAAGACATCCAAAACAGCCATTTGAAAGAGTTCTCTAATATGAAACCTATTACAACCCTATAAGGTAAATGTAATTTTCAAGACATGAAAAAGGAGGCTAAGTGGGGGAACTGAATGATTGTTCAGCGGTTGGCATGTCAGCTCTGATGCATGGAGAAAGGGATTGTGGGTAAATCCATCAGCATCATATCTACCTCGACAGCATGCATCGGTCAATCTGTCAAGCCTTCAAACATGAATACGCTCTGATTACTCCCTCAGCTCCACACAGAACTGCTCCTCCACAAATTAGCATCTCCAAACCGTAATTGCATTCATGAGGATTGCAGGAAGTAGAGCAGGTTTTTATCACAACAAATGATATATGTAAAGCTTATGCATGAAGCATTATGTATGGCTGCAATAATCAAGGCTTTCCATTTAGTAGCCTCTCATATAGGATACATGTCTCCACATGAATTTACTAAATGAGGTGGGTAATCTTTTTGGAAAATATACATTTGTGGTTCACTGAATAACTTTAATGTTTAGGTTCTGTATGCGATTCAATTCCTTTGTTTTAAAATATGGACAGGTGTGAATGCATATTTATTCCAGCATTGAGAAAATAGATAAAAGAAAGAGGACATGGTCAACAATATTTACGTATGCAAAGATATTTGTGTTCAGGGTGAGATTAAAGGTGGGAATATTATACCTTTAGAACTCACTTTTTATTTACTATGGTATCAAACAGAGATACAGAAATAGCTACACCCGACTGCTGTGTCTCTTTGGTAATTGAATACATTGTGTGCACGTAATAATGATGAATGAAAAATAATCTGTTATATACAGTTAAAATGATATACATTCAGGTGAATATTATGATCTTCATAAACAGAGGGAACAAGATTAAACAACAGTCAGCATAAAGCCAAAATACAACTCCTTAAATATCTGATATATAAGCATACTATACTGTATATTATATATAATGGTGGAATATTCCCCCTAGGTATTGGATTCATGGTTCATTTATCTTCATATTCATTTCACATGTTGGTCATGACCTTTACTGTGGAGACAGTGGTTGATTGGCCAGTCTTTCGCTCGGCAGTCAGGATATTTTTTACAGCTGCTGGGCCCCACTCTGTGGTTTTAATAGACAGAGTATATCAGGTTGTGCGGTAAAAATGCATGAGATTTTAAATGTTTGAAATGAAACACAATGAACATTGAATCAAAACAAATGTGCCATTCTGATAACCATGCATTTAAACTATGCTTTATGTTTGAAGCTGGAGACACAGAAATATACGCAACACATTTTGTGAATGGAAAATTAAGTTCACATTGGGGGTAATTTTGAGAAGGAAATATATCAAGAGAAAGCCAAAAGGAAATGACAGCATTTAACCAGTAAAAATGTTATAACCCCCCAAACCTTGATATTGTTATATTGCTCTGAGGTGAAGCTCCTTGAACATATAGGAGACTTTTTCAGGGCTATGCTTCAACTTCACTGCAAAAGGCAGCATATAAAGTGAATTCAGACATTTCTAAGTCAAATAGGCTGCCTGGCGAAACTACCAAACCGTAGCAGAGGTTCATTTGTGCTGAGAACGGAGTGTCTATTAAAGTGGAGCCTCACCTTGACACAGTCTGTTGAGCAGAGTAATTAAGCAAACTCTGCAGTTCAAACATGAGATTCTATCAAAATGAATACCTCACTTGACATGGATAGATAAATTACGAGGGGTTAATCCACATTTTAGTCGGTTACCACTGCTAAAAAAACGGTACTTTAGTGCTATATGTAGATAAAAAGGGATTTTGCTGCTGTTGTGTTTGGTGTGTGTCCAAGTGTGTGTTTCTGTGTCCTCACTATAAACAATATCTCTGCTGTTGAAATGGATCCACTACATCTGGAGGTCAGGCCTTATATTCAATCTTGAGCGCATTGAAAAAAAAATCCATTAGGGTTCATCTTTCCTGCATCAGCCATTCTATTGTGGTGCTGCAGTGAGATCTGTTTTCATCAGGCAGATTCAATACGTGAGCTGGGCAATGAAAAGAGTGCAATAGAGTTGGTTGAAGAGAGGAGGGGTGAGGATCGAGAGAGAGAGAGAGAGAGAGGGGGGGGGGAGAGCGTTTGTGGGGAGGAAAGCAAGAAGAAATTGCAAAGAGGAAAAAGGTAACTCTTATTTCAAATGAGCATATACCTCAAGTTTTCTGTACCTCCTGGATTTCATTATTAGATATTTTAGAGATAATTCGTTTGAGTGAAATAAGGTTATTCTATCTCAACAAAAGGCTGAGAGCTTCTGCTTTCGAAATGCATGCCTACGTGATTCAAGTATGAGGACGTTTGAAAAACTCCATTGCAGGTGCAACAATATACACATAAAATAAATAGGGCGATTATATAACATAGAGGATTTAGAGTAGAGCAGCATAACAGCAGCAATTGATCATAGTCAGGGTGCGCCAAGACAGAATAGATAGTGTGTGTTTTGTGTGTGGTGTTGTGGGACTAAATGGTGTTAGATGTAGATCTTTAGGTGGGTACAATGGTGGATTGTGGGTGTGGATGCTGTGGACCAAGGAAAACTACCATGTTTTCACCATAGGTTTTCACTCAGATGCAAAATAAAGACTAGACAAACTTAAAACAATAACATTATGGTAATTATATATTATCTTCTTATCCATGGGACACATGAAATGACCAAAACCGTCTCACACGTGCTGACATCCATCTTCCCTCTGACCCTACAAACTGGTCGCAAATATATGTTCTTAAATATCTCTAAAATGGCTGTCGACTTTTAGCAAACAGGAATACATTTGGAATTTGTTGAGGACTGTTTTCAGCTGCGGACTACTACTATTTGCTTTGCTAGTGAGCATGTATTAGCAGGATGTTAAATGTAGATTGACACTAAACATGTCCATGGTGAAGAAGTTAAATGTATGTGTTTAAATTGTTTGGCTAAGATCTGAATCAAGAGGTCAACTAGTCCCAAAAAGTCACTGGTTCCAACTTCCTAATAGAATATTTTACTTTTCTTAGTCTACTTTTATAGTAGATTCATTATCTTTGGGTTGTTGGTTGTTTTTTTGGGCCATGGGATTTGTTAACATATTGAATATTGCCAGTCTAATCCTGTAAAGGTATAGTAGTTGAAAGCACATTTTCCCACCAAACCAGGTGGTAACATCTTCAAAACCTGAAATAAATAATTGACTCTACTCTCCTAATTTTGTGAAGAGGCCAATTTTCAATTCATAAGATTTTTTTCCCGTTTTTTCTGATGCTTATTGTGTTGCGGTCCGAAGCCCCTCCTGGCCAAACCTGATATCTTTCAGAGAGCTCTTTTCTATGATGCTCTGATGCACTTGGCAGGGCCTCCCTCCCACTCTCACTCTCTCACCCCTCTGTCTGTTAATGCCCCCACTGTCATAGCATCTACAAGTTCCAAAACACATTAGAAATGTAATAGCCATGCTCAGGTTGCATTGATCTTATCAATAGAGCCCAGAAAGATACACATCTCTGCTGCTGCTGGTGAATAATTTCTAGACTCACAAGTGAAATGGCCTTGTTGTTGTGTCTTTACTTACACCTAAACCTGCCTAAAGCCAATCTAGTTTTGTATTAGTTTCACACCTGTGCTGTGACAAATACATCTGCAATCTATTTGAAAAGAGAGGCTACACATTCAATGATGGTATATTTAAGACACTCCTGTAATTCATATGACTTGTGCCTGCGACTGGAATAAATTATCTTTGATTACGTTTTTCTCATGTTCCTCAATGATGCATGCAATATTAGCCATCATCAAACTGGCTCAAGTGTGATGGTTTGAATATGTAACAGATGATGAATGTATAATCAGCCAGGGGATGTTATGTGAAATGGTTAGCAGAAGGAGCTATACTGTATGCAGCCTCAGCACCATCAAATTCCCAGGTATTATCTAATTTGTTATTTTCCGGAATACAAGACGTGAATCCGCCTGAATAAGGGTCAGTTCATTGGTAATGACGGTGGTCTGCCGGCTGTATTCATATTCAAATTCATACTCTTAATTTCTTTTGTTAGCAACATTTAAATAGGAAATTCCTCCGAGGCTTTTAATATTCAGTTGTTCGGGTTAATTATCAAGTGTTAATCCCGCACTGATTGTCATGTTAAGTCGGTGGATGCCTGTGTTTTCTTTCCTTTCTTTATTTTTTTCTGGCGAGGCATTAAGTGAACCTGGCAGGTGCTCGCTCTCCAAGCCTGCGTGAATGAAATATGAGCTGCAATGTCAACTGAACTTGTCACAGACAAGCCGGGATGAATTAATGATAAGAGAGCAGAGGTGTGTTTTAATGTGTTCTCTCTCTGATGGAGGGTCTCAGCAAACGTATTATCGCATACTGTACACCTGCTGGTTTTTGTATAAACATGGAACGGAGAAAAAAGGTGGATTAGCGATAAGGTGATGCATGTATAGAGAAAACCACAGACTGCTAATTATAAGTCTGAAAAAAATGAATAGTCCTGTGCGTCAC